TTGAGATCAGGAAGTGTCTTTTCCCTCTTTTTTGTATCCCCAGAGCTCAGTACAGTTCCTGGCATATAATAGGTGCTTAATGAATGTTTATAGATTGATTGTTGGCTCCTCCATTTGATTGTGAGGTTCTTGAAGACAAGGACTGTCTTTTTGCTTCTTTTTGTATTATCAGCACTTAGCACAGTGCCTGGAACATAGTAGGTCCCTAATAAATGTTTATTGATTGACTGACAAAAACTTTACCTTGGCACATATTCAAGAACATGTCAACACCTATTGTCGAGGAGGAGTCTTATGATGAGCTGGTTCTTATAAGTAAAGTAAAAATGATATAGAGTTAGTGACATTGAAAGGTCTCAGGATGGATTATTCTGCTTGAATACCAATAAATATCCCAGAATGACCCTGATAGAAGCTACTCTTATCTTTGAGTAGGCATGGTGGGGTGAGGGGTGAGGAGGAAGAAGTAGAAACCTTTTGTAGAAGTTAGGAGAAAGAGAAATAATCTGTTGATTTTTTAGCAGATTTAAGCCACCATGAGCAGCTCTGCTTCAAAGAAAACTATTAACTCAACTTGAAAGCAAAAAGGATTGCAATAGACCACACTTAATGCAAAAGTTTCTTCTGCTTAAGAAAGTATCCCAAAATGGTGGTTGGGCTTGCATTTTCAGTAGAAAATAATAGCATCTACCTCAGAGGCTTATTGTGAAGATCAAATGAGATAATATATGGAGTGTACTTTGGAAACTTTAAAGCTCTAAATCAATGTTATTATTGTTATTATCATTTTTATTTTTTTGTTTTTAGGCAATTGGGGTTAAGTGACTTGCCCAGGGTCACACAGCTAGTAAGTGTCAAGTGTTTGGTCCAAGGCCGGAATTGAACTCAGGTCCTCCTGACTCCAACGCTGGAGCGCTATGTACTGTGCCACCTAGCTGCCCCCTGTTATTATTATTATTATTAATTGTAGTGGTGGTGGTGGTGGTAGTAGTAGTAGTAGTAGTAGTAATGTTAATATACTGGCTAAAGAAGAAAGGTCACACAGGCAGTGTCTCTAATGTTAGAGTTATAGAGGTGAGTATTTTCACACCCCTAGCCTCTCAGTCCAGAAGTTAACACTCTGTTAAACAATGATTACATGCACCAGTTCAAAATGTATAGGAACACTGCTAGGGATCTTTTAGTAAAGGGACGTCAAAAGGAATAAATTATTTTGTAATTGATACAATTATCCCCTATTCTGAAAGAATATGAGTTGAAAGGAGCCTCAAAAGCCAGAGAGCCTCTTGGAATCTTAGGTACATAGTAGAGTGAAAGGAGTGTTGGATTTCTAGTCAGAGCCTGTAGGGTGCTCTTGAGTACTGGCTTGTTCAGTTACTGTCTGTGTGACCTTGGACATTTCATCTCTTGGGGCTTCTGTTTCCTCATTTGAAAAATGAGAGATGTGCATTTGATTACTGCTAAGGTCCCTTCCATTTCTAAATCTAAGCTCTAGTCTAGTCCATAAACTGAAAAACAATCTTCTCTACAACATATCCAATAGATGGTTTGTCTTTACTCTCCTTTCTGAACTCTGTTATCCAGCCACGCTGGTCTCCTTGCTATTCTTTGATCAGAGTGTTCTCTCTCCAACTTCATACCTTTTGATGGCTGATCCCCATAATGGGAACATTCTTCCTCCTGGTCTCCAACAGCAGGATTCCCTGGCTTCCTTCAAAACTTAGATCAACTCCTTCCTGTCATTGTTCAGTCATTTTCAGTCACATCTGCCTCTTGGTGACCCTATTTGAGATTTTCTTGGCAAAGATACTGGAGTGGTTTGCCATTTCCCTCTCCAGCTAGTTTTACAGCTGAGAAAACTGGGGCAAACAGGGTTAAGTGGCTTGTCCAGGGTCACACAGCTAGTAAATGTCTGAGGCCAGATTTGAACCCAGTAAGATAAATATTCCTGACTTTAGGTTTGGCACTGTATCTACTCTATCCTCTTTGCCACCTCAACTTCTACCTTCTGTCTTTCCTGCTTACCCCTATACTGCTATCTTCTTTCCTTTGAGGTTATCTCCAATATACCCTCTATGTATCTTGTTTGTATATAATCATTCGCATGTTGTCTCCCCCACTAGAATGTGAGCTCCTCAAAGGCAGTGACTGTTTTTTTTTTCCTTTCTTTGTACCCCTTTTTCTCAGCAGAGTGTCTGGTACATAGTAAGTGCTTAATAAATGCATGCTGACTTGACCTCCACTTTGCTTGAAGTCCACTACTTCCTAAAACAGCCTACCCATTGCTCCTACTTCTTCTCTATAGGGTCAAGCAGAGCAAATCTAACTTCCCTTCCATGTGACAGCCCTCCAAATACTTGAAGATAGTCGTTGTGTCCTCTTTTAAAATTTCTCTGATTCCTCCAAATACTTGAAGATAATTATTGTGTCCCCCTTTAAATTTTCTCTGATTCCGACCATCTCTCTATCTTGGTCATTATCTGGATGCTCTCCACCTTGTCCAAGTTGTTGTTGTTCAGTTGTTTCAGCTATGTATGATTCTTTGTGACCTCATTTTTGGGGGTTTTCTTGGCAGAGATACGGAGTGGTTTGCCATTTTCTTCTCTAGCTCATTTTACAGATGAGGAAACTGAGATAAACAAAGTTAAGTGACTTGTCCAGGGTCACACAGCCAAGTAAGTGTCTGAAGCTGGATTTGAACTCATGAAGATGTCTTCCTGATTCCAAGTCCAATGCTTTATCTATCATGCCACCTAGCTGTCCATATCCTTCCTATAATTTGGTGTCCACAATTAAACTTAATACTCCCAAGCAGAGTTCAGAGAGATGATTCTGAGTTTATTCCAAGAGGATATGCCGGATATTGCATTCAACAACTATCTATTAGGCATCTCTTTCATGCCTGCTTTCATAAGCAGGGCCAGAGGCTGAAGAAGAGTCATAGAATGTCTAAGTTGGATTTTAAGATCATCAGACTAACATCTCACAGTTTTGCAGTTCATAGATCAAGAAACTGATGCTCAGAAAAGTTGAAGTCTAAAGTCTATGTATCTTGATTTTAAACTCAATACTTTCCCCACTAACTCTAGTTGTTTCCAGGATGAACTGGGAGAGAATTCAGTAATTATCTAGTTTAAAACTTCCTCTCATTTAACCCTTTTATTACTTTTGTTAAATCCTGAAAACGAATGACCAAAGAGTCACAGAAGTTATGCAATTGCTGTTAATTCTGAAAAATACCAAGGAGTTCACCGAGGTAATAACACAACTGTTAACTCTGAAAAACAAAACAAAATAGAATAAAACCAAAGAGTTAACAGTGGTTATAAGCAAAAAGCATTCTTTATTCTATTGGAGGAGGGAAACTACACCTGCATGCCGGAGTCTGTTCTGATATTGCAGTGAGGCTGAGCCTTGATACGAGTGTCTACGCAGTGAGCTGTAGCTGGGTCAGTGAGAGGTAACGGCAGCAATGAGACAAGTTTGAGTCATACCAGGGCTCTATGACTGGAACATGGTTCCTGTAGGTGCTTGTCTGAGCTCAGGGACCACCTGGGGCTGGTGTGGAAACAATTATGGGATTTTACTGCCAGAGAGTTTATCCAGAGTGTGAGCGAAAAGAGTTGTTGTTATGCCAAGCTCAGGGCACAGCTTACTTGCTGGGCCTTAGCTCTGGAAAAGAGGGTGTCTCAGGGGTAGTTAGGTGGCACAGTGGATAGAGCTCTGGCTTTGGAGTCAGGAGGATCTGAGTTCAAATCTGGTCTCAGACACTTACTAGCTATGTGACTCTGGGCAAGTCACTTAACCCCGATTGCTTCACCAAAAAAACAAAAACAAAAAACAAAAAAGAGGGTGTCTCCTATTAGTAAAAAGAGAGGAGATAGAAAAAGGGGGTGGTGGTCATGGCATGGGGATCCTGACACTTTTTTCAATTAACAATCCTTAATTTTTCTCCCTTCCATCTTACCACTAACTGGGGAAAAATAAAAACAAAGCCCTTATAACAAATATGCATGTTAAAGTGAAAAAAATCTCACATTGGCCACATCCAAAAATGTATGGTTCAATTTGCATATTGACTCCATCATCTCTCTGTCAGGAGGTGGGCATCATTCTTCATCATTGGTCCTCTGCAATCATAGTTGGTCATTACATTGATTGGAGGTCTTCAGTCTTTCAAAATTGTTTTATTTAAAATGTTTTTTATTATATGTACCGGCCGCCGACCTTATGCCGGCCGCGCCGAACACTCCTCCTATAAGGAGCAGGCTGCCAGAG